AATGAGAACTGTAACATTTAGACATCAATTTCCATCAACATCCAACTCATCTCAAAAGTATTTTTTTGCTGTACAACTTCTTATTCTTGTTCCATATTCATCATAGTCATAGTCAATATCCAAAGTTTTGTGTCTCCCTCAGCCTCATCTCACAAGTCAATTGGATATACCAAAAACTACAGAAAACATAACAAAAGCTGAACAAAGCAAAACACAGAAATTTTCCTTCCTTAACTTACAAAATTGAACTTTTCGTCTCATTCTATTGTTATTTTATATATCATATCCTCAATGGAAGTAACAAAAACATAGGTAGATAGGTACATTGGACGTAGATGGATGTACTTTCATTTAAAAATAAACAAACATTTGCCTTACTTTTTACAATGAGAGGAGTTCCTTGGTCATCAACATGATTTTGACAAAACTTTACCTCATTCCTTATTCCTTGTTCTTCATCCATGAATGCAAACATGCATGCTTGGTTTGAAGTTTGTCTATTTTTTGTGTCTGTTGAAAGTTTCTCATGAATTTTTTTTTTTTGTTTTTATTTTGAGATGAATGAAAAATTTGCAATTTGGGATGTTGGATTTACCTGAGGATGTTCATCATGTTCACTTCCTTTTCTTCTTTAAATATTGCTCTTTTGCATCATTTTGTGGTCTTATTAGGAACATTAGAGCATATATTCAAGGTATTTAGAATGAAGTAAGATATCTGGATGATTTTTAAGGAATTAGAAATTGTTTGTCTTGAAAAGAAGCTTGTTTAGGGTTTCTAAGAATAAGAAAGTTATTCTGAAATGACATAATGGTTGAGGATCAAAGGAGTATGTCATTTAGGTCTCCACATGTAGCATAGGCTACACTATTAATTGATCCAAAATTTTCATAAAAATTAAACAAAAGCTAAAGCTTCAATCAGCGACATTCAGAATCCATATAAGTTGCATACATTCATTTAAATCTTTTGTTTTCCTGACTTCTTTGTTCTGTCACAAAACCTCCAAGAACCTTTCTTTTATCATTTTATGAACAAACATCCAGTAACTGAAAAATTCACAAAAAATCAAGGAAATGCAGAAACTCAAAGACCCTTGAACTTGATTTAAAAATAAATTCAGCATCAACAGAATGTAATTTGTTTATTATCATTCCACATAAATCATTAGCTTCATCTTCTTCTGTTTTCACTCCACTGCTGTGTTTATTGTTTTCATTGCGCTCAGTCAACTGTTTTGTTGTTGCTACTGTTCAGTCTCACTCCAATGTTTATTGTTGACTGTCGAGATAAAGAAGGCAAATTTGTGAATTTCAAAATAAATATTCATGCTGTGGATCAAGAAGAGAGGCTACTGACGACGATGTCAACGACGAATGTTAGGAAACAGTTTATGTGTGGATGAAATCGAATGAATGGAACTGAAATGGAGTAAAGAATGAGAGAGAAAATAAGGAAGGGAAGAAAAGAAAGAAAATAGCCGGAGGACATGAAATATACAGCATAAGAATATGCGAGGCGAGGAGAGCCATAAAAATGTAAAAGTGACACAAAATAAAACACCAATTGAAAAATATTTCATGCACGATTTATGTATGGATATATATGTGCAGTTCAGACACCGCAAATATCACGACTTTTAACTTTAGTTGTTGTGTCTCTTTGTTTTGTTGTGTAATTGGTTTGGTGTCGTAAGGATTGAAACGCATTGAATTTTTTTTTCAAATAATAATTATATTATGTTAAATTCGGGACATAGTCTATCAAGGCGTCTCTTAATCCTGACAGAAAAAAACATTTCTGGTCTGAGAATTCTCCTGGCTGAAGCAGTTTAATCACATCTTAGAAAGGACTTCACCTAGTTTAATTTAAATGTCATGAGGACATCATTTGCGAACGACCCCTTAAAAATAAATAAACAATAACCTACAATCTTAAAAATCCAGACACTTGGACATCCTTACCGTTCATCCAGCACATTTTCCACGAATTTCTCTTTGCCATGAAACAAACCTCAAGTTGGCAACACCCACGCAAGTGGAATAAAATCTGTCTGAGACGAACATTCAAGCTGTTTATGTTCCATTCAAAAAATATATGCACACATCGACACAATCATTAATATTAATATTTCAAAAATATGCGAGAAAAAAATCAATTTTAAAGTTTTAAACCTTTTAGTTTATCAAAAAAAACAAAAAAAAAATGAGGAAAAAAAATAAATTTCAATATTTATGCATGGAAAAACTTTTTTTTAAATATGATTTTTTTTTTGCTGTTGTTCTGTCATAAATACATGCATGAGTTTTTAATGCTTCAAGCGATTTCTCATGATTAAAGTTGAAAATTGTTGAATATTAAAAATATTTTTCTGATATGAAAAAAAAATTGTGGGAAAAAATATTTAATATAAAATTTCGACGAATCCTTTTGTGGAACTGCCAAAGCATTTATTCTTAGCATTTCTAATTTTAATATCAAAAAATAACACAACATAGTCCCAATTTCCTTCAAAATATGTCTCATATCCTCCACACACAATAAATTCCAAGTCAATACAAGTCGAATCGAATCGAGTCATATCAAGCACAAAAATATATATTTCGCTGCTATAGCTGATACCAAAAACTCGATAACGAACAAATATAATTTTCTGAGTAGCTTGCAGACATTTATTTAGCTCCTGGCACTTGGGACCAGTTTCATTTTAATTGCATCTCGTTTTTTTTCCAATCCAATCTATCCTCTACACATTCAATCTCACATCTACTCACTCATTCACTTGCTCGGTTGGCTTGGTACCGTTGCTGACTCCCCAGCACTATGTGGCACCTAACGACTATTATGAATATGACGAGAAGAAGGAAAAAAGCTCTCAAATGAATATAAAAATTGGATATACTTATGTATACACACACATGTACACATGTTCGATGCGGTATGAAGGAAAAAAGGAGGAAAAAAAACTTCATGAAAATTTCGCTAAAGGCTAAGTTCATATAAATTTTTTTTTTTATAATATTAAAAATGTATACACTCAATATAGTTACAGCTCTGATACATTTTACACTTATGTATCAGTTCCTTTAATAGAATCATGTCTGAATACATGGGAAAGGAGAAGGAAATAACGTCAACTTTTTCGTTTTTTATTCATTGTTTTCACATTGTTGTGATTCTTGAAGGTTTAGGTGAGGTAATTATGAGGCATAATAAGTAGGCTGACTATTTGCTTGGCTTTTAGAGGATAGTCCTCTATTTTTTTTTTTTCATTTTTTAAAAGTAAAATAGTTTTGTTCTGTTCTAGTTCGTCCAGAAAAGAAATAAAATTGGGAGACACGTGGGATGTCCGCTATTTTACTTTCAGGCCCTTTATTTTTTTCAAAAAATATCTACTCACTCTAATTATAGAGACAAGGAAATTTGGAATTTACCACTCGTGTGAAAATTGAAAACACTCGCCGAAATTTTTTAATAATTACGTAATCCCAATAAGTGCTTACTTTATTCGGCGTACCATATTTCAACCGATCACTATTGTAGCACGAAAAGTTTGAGCGATTAAATAAATGCCGAATTAATATTTTTTAAGATCCTGGATGTTGTGGTTAAATCCACTGGATCTTTTTAACAATACTTTATCCACTTAATTTATTTTTTAAGTGGGTTTTAATTTAAACGCCATTAAATGTGAATTAAACGCCATATATATATATATATATATATATATATATATATATATATATATATATTTATAAGGCTCTAAGGGATGATAAATTACACCTTAGGTGATAAAACCTTTAAATACATATTTTTCTTAATATCTCTGTAATTAGATGAAAAATTAGCTTAAATTGAATTGTATAACACGCCTGAATGTTTAGTAATTGTTTAATTGTAAGTTTCGTCAGTTTATATCGCCTTAATTATATTTTAAATCACATTTTAAAAATAACACGATGTTTCTTAGTATTGATGATAAAAAAGCTCTCGAGATATTATTCAAATATCTTATTACCGTTACACTATTTCAGCCGAAAACTTTTTTACCTAATGAGATTTTTTTAAAAAATAGATTATTTTATTTTATTTTTTCAATTTTTAATTCGTATCTGTTAAAATTTATGTTCCATTTCATTTAAATACTAAGCTTAAATCCACATTCCGTCATTGTCGACATTGTGTCGAAAGAAACTGTAACAGTATCATCTAAGAGCTTAAAAATAAATGAAAGGCATAAATTGATCGATACTAAGGTTCGAATCCCAATCTTATAAACAACATATTGAAAATGACTGTGGAAGTGTAGTAAAAACTTTTTTTTTTTTGCATAATAAGTTGTGCTGTTACATTAAGAAGCCTTTTATGATGCACATTACAATTTTTCTAATAAAATACCGTCCAAAAAACTTTAAATCTTTTAGAACTCAACCTATAAATTTAAATTCTATTCATTAATCATTTTTCCCGCTCATAAAAATATCAACATCAAACAAAAGTTGAGTAAACCTGAAGAGCATTATTCAAAAGAAACTTGAATCTCATTTTCCCCTACAATTTACATTTCTCATTCTCTCAAGACACGAACGCTCTCCCGATAAAAATCTCAACTCACAAATTGTTTTGCCTGTGGCGAGCTTTATATCATGTTGCTGTGTATATAGAACCTTCTATCTCATAAAATATAACCGACATAAAATGTATTGTTGTTGCCGGAGGATACGCTGCAGGCAGTAAAATGAATGCGAACTCTTAAAAAAATTATATTTTCAAAGGATGAAGCATAATTTAAATCCATTCGTTTTGTGTATATTTGGATAAAACATTAAGACAACGAGTTATTAATATCTTGCAGATTTAAATCACAAAAAAAATATACTAAAACATATAAGAAACTCGTTAAGACATCAAGAGGCTGTTGACTGTATTAATTAAATATTTATTCAAGAATCTTTTTTAGTAAATCTCTCATAATCGTCTCTTTAGTTGTTAGCGAAATTTTAAGAACTAAGCACATGCGTTGTTGTGCCGCAAGCCATGAAATTTCTCAAGATTATCTTGGTCGTTTTAATTGAATTTTTCATTACTTTATGTTGTCAAGATTATAAGGAATTTAACTCTACATTTTCGGATTTAAAGGTCTACAACGATTCCGGTGAGTGTTTTTGGTATTATTTTAAATAAATTATTCGACTTGAATTTGTTTGAGTTTTTTATTAAATGTGCAAAAAATAATAAAATCAACAATATGCCAATAAATATTCAACAGATTTTTTTTTGTTTCATTTTCTCAACTGTTGTGCTGATGCTGATAAAAATTTAAGTTTGATGAATTTTGTAGAATTTTTTTAAAAATATATTTTCATAAAATGAGAATATAAAATTAAGCTTTTGAATAGAAATGAAATTAGAGACTTTGGTTAAGGCTCTGATAATAATGTTTTTTAATTTATGTTACTTTGGCCAGTTTCATCCTCTTTAATTTGACTCAATATACATTTATGCGTTCTTACAACTGAGCACCGACCAAACAACCACCATAGCTCTGTTTTGCTCACTAATACAGTCACACAAATTCTGAAATTGTTTTACATATTTTGGATTAACATCAAGAATGAGATTGTCAAGCGCACATATGCCTCGGTTCCAAAAAAAATATAATTTCTAATTTCTAATCGATTAACCGACTTGTGCTATTCGAGATTAATTCAATATTTTATCAAAGTTCCATTCATTCCCGTAAAAACTTCTTTATCTCAACACAAATCTTATAATAAAAATTATCTTCGAAAGAAAATTGAATAAAAATACTGAAATTAAATGTTCATTCACATATCACAAGGTCGAGAGCCGATTTTACGCTATTTACGCGGCAATAAAATAACAAAACAGAGCCACAAAAACGTCATAGAGTAGCATGATAAAAAGCAATTTAAGAAAACCTGTTTATTGTCCATTAAGATTAAAGGCAAATTTACTACTAAGTTTCTTATCCTTTATCGGAATTAAGAGTTGTTTTTATTGTGGACTCGCTTGATATAATTTTGTTTATGATAAATAGGAATTAAGCAGTATTGAGATAAAGTATTAGCGTAAGAGTTTTGTGTAGACAGCTTGATAATTCTTAATCAATAATTCAAATAAGAAATCTTAGTCGATCTAAAGCTGCGTTAAGTTTGACAGAATGATTAAGCTATCATCTATTCAAGAATATGCTCAGATTTGGATTTTGCACCTCTTACCAAAGCTTGAGGTCGTTGTATAGTCGAATTCGTCATGGATTTGGTCAAACTCAACTCAAACTCTCTCAATCATCTTATAAGCTCATATTATCAATAATATGAAGCTTTAAAATTCTCTCAATAATTTAAAAATTGCCAACTTCACACAAATCCCTTTAAATAAAAATCCGATTTCATTATTTTTGCAGACGTTTATGATAACAAATACTTCAATGGTACACATTGGATAACCGAGAAGAATATAACCCATAAAATACGATGGAATTACTTTTACAATTGGACATCAAACTGGACGAAAACATTTACCATTCCTCCATCAACTGGATGAGATGACAGATAATCGTTTACATACATTCGAACCTTCATTTGTGCTGTCTAAGCAACATCCATGATTTTGCAATAAAAATAAATGAAATAATTTTGGGTATCATAGGGAAATTAATGACTTCATCTATATTTTTTCGATAAAGAAAATTATTTTTGTCAAGTCATAATGATCCTGCAATATAATGAAACATTAGCATCCATTAAAATCCAAAATACACATTATCATATAGTCATTTTTCTTCTTCAAGAATTAATAAATCATTTTTTTTCTTTATTTTCTTCTTCATTTTATAAGTTTTTTTTTTGTTTTTAAATAATAAAAAGCAATATAAATGAACAACAAAAAGAACAGATTGTAATTTTTTATTTATCAAGGCATGGCAAATTTGGAGAATTTTTTGCAATTTTTTCATTGATTGAATTTTAGCAGCTCTTGGATTTTTTGTGTGAAATTTGATCAGGGGTTGAATTTTTTAAGACATTTCAGGTTAAGAGTTCCAGGCACATGTGAAGCTGGTGTCAATCCAGTTCATCATACCCTCTTATTTGGGTCTATTAGAATTTTTCTCATAATCACATCTGGTTATGGCGAGAATCTGAGATTTATAAAAGGTTCTCAAGTCAGGAGGTCTAGACCCTAGCGACATTTCTGCGTTTCCACGTAATTAAGACTTGATTAAGACTTGAATACGAAACTAAACTCAAGTTTGGATCCCTAGCTAGATGAACGATTCATTGTGTCAATAAAAGAATTTACAGAAACTCATGAAACTTGAGATAGGCCCCTACTGTCCGAATTACAAATGTTATGCAATAATGTAACAAACTTTCAAGGGGCGGTTCACTCAATATAGAACTAGTAGCGGGGTTAAGACTTTTTAAACAATAGAACTTCTTAGAATTCTCGTTAAAAATCGTCTTTTTAAGTAATAAATTCAGTTTGCTTAAGTAAGAATTTTTACACTATTTAACAAAATTTTAACTGTTTTTAATTACAACTTAATCGCTGTGATAATAAAAACTTTATTTTTTTTTCATCTTTAAATATAATTTAAGTTAAGTTTAATTTAAGAGTAAAATTTACATTTTTTTTAAAATGTTTTTGTTTTATTTATATTTTGAACAGAACAAGGATTCAATTTTTATTATATATTTTTTTGTTTTAGATTTTTGAAGACACATTAGTGTTAATTATCGAGAGAGTATAACATGGAAACATAAACTAACGACAGTCTCTTTTTTTATAACGAGCATTTGGCTTTCACATGAGATTATTAATTAAAATTAAAGGTAAATTAGATTCATGAGAGTAATCAAGAGAAAATTTAATTATAAAGAAAGTAGAAGTAAAACTTTTCAATTCTTAAATAATTAATTGGAGTAATTTAATTTTTAATAAGTTTCTCATCTCACATAAAGATTTTTGTTCCTTTTATATTACAACTTATTATACGAGGAAAGAGTAAATTAAGATTTAATCGGGGAGAATTTTTTCAATGCCTTTTTGTTTAACAAATTGAGCTTTAAACTTTGATTTATGCTGTCCAGCTGGTTGGAGACAATTTTTCAGAGACTTAATTTGAGATTCATTGACCTAGGCTTGTATCAGCAAACGTAAATCAAGATTCAGAGAGGAAGAATCAACAATTTGTATTTATTCTTATTTTATAAACCAATTTGTCAGTTCTTTAAGCTGACAAGTTAATTAATTCTAATCATTATTGCCATAAATTAGAACTTTTTGTTTTAAAAACTTTAGTTTCAATTTAATATTTGGTTCTTTTGATTCTGTTTATCTTCTAAGCTCTGAGGGGCGTCTAAATGAAGCTTTCTTGTGATTTGGGTTCGGTCAGGAGCTCTAATCTGCAATTATCAATAGTAAGTTTTTCGTTCCTAGTTCAAGCAATAGGTTTGCAACTCATCAATCAAGTTTTGATAATTTTTGATCAATTTTAATCATTCCGGCCAGATTCTGAGGCTCTTTCTAACCTAGTCTTGTCTTATTTTAGTTCAGCCTACTCTCATTCCTCTCCTAAGGTGTATTAGATAGCCGAAGAAACCAGCCTCAGTTCTACATCTTTGAATTCAGCCTTCCAAAAAATTGTAAACTAAACTTTACTTCACTGATTTGTTAAACAAAAATGCTTTTTATGTCATCATAAAATTCCAACAAAATCATCTTACTTAAGTATATTTCTTGTTACACTTGAAATGTATCTTAATGGGGGAACCTGTTGCGTCTATTACTAATTCATTGATTTCAATTAAAATGCTTTTACATCTTTTTCTCAGTTTATTTATATTTTTTTTATAGATATATTGAGCCACTCAAGTTTCATTGCACCTTAAAAAGGTTTTTATTAAGGTTTATATGCACACTTCCAAATTATTATTTTGTTTTTGTTTTGAGAAACTTTTTTAATTTATTAATCTTTTAATAAATTTGTATCCTATACTAAATGTCTAAAGAATTGTCATCATTTTCTCTAAAGCTAAAGTTAAACTAAACTTGATTTTTCTCACTTTTACTTTTCTAATTCATTGCGACTAGAAATTATTGAAAGATTTCCTCATCAATTGATAATTTTAAATGACATCAACTTCTAAAACTTTTTACTTTACTTTAATTTTTTTTTGTCCACTTCATTTTTAAATGTTTTTCTAGCTAATTTTACATTGTTTTTTATTTTTTTTTTTATTAATTCGAAAATAGATTGCTAAAGTTGTTCAATAGAATAATCAACACAGTTTCATTGTCGATTCATAACAAGTTGTTCAAATTTTTTTTAGAGTTTTTCATATTTTTAAAATCGGAAAGTTTTAAGAATTTTTCAATTAAAGTTTTTTTAAATAGAACAAACTATCATGCGTAGTTCTTTTAAAATTTGGTTGTTTTTAGATTTTTGATGACTATTTTTGGGATTTTTTAAGTGCAAAAAATTTTCAAAACGAATTAAAATTTGATTAAAATATTTTTAAATTAATGAAAACATCAAAAAAACTTTGAAAATTAATTGGGAAAAAAATATAAAAAAGAAACACTTGAAACATTAAATTCAAAATTTAATTAAAACATTTGAGATTCGAACTCACGTTTTTTAGATTTTCCATAGATTAGTGATATGGCTTATTTTTAAACACATAGAATACGATCGCTAAAATTGAATTGAATTTTAAGTTTTTTACTTGACTTAATTTTTGAATGTTCAGAAAAATTTCTTCAATTCGTTAAAGTTTTTTGAACAAAAAAAAACCTTAATTTGCCAAAATTGGAACAAGCAAAAAAATAAATAAAAATAGTTTAATTTTTTAATAATTTTTTTTTCCTAGCATCCTCAATATTCAGGCTCAATCCTGCGATTGACTTGGATCCATCCAAAAAATTAAATTGATCAAAAGAATCACCAACAAATCAAAAACCCCAAAAATTGTCCACCATTTTTAAAGTTTAAATTTTGTTTCGTTTATTTTCGGGTTTGAATAATTTTTTATCATTTTTAAAAATTGATTTTTTTACCATTAGATAACAGTTCCTTATTATACTCTAGAAATTTGATAGAAACTCTTTTACATAACTACGGTAGTTATTTTCTCACATTTTTTTATTACTTTTATTTAATAAAATTTTTATAGCCGTCATAAATTCGGCAAAGAACAATTTTTATTATTATAATTTTTATTGGGGAAATTTTATCTTTTTGATATGTTAGAAAAAATAGGACAAGAATGAGGAGAGAAGAAGAAAATTAGAATTTTTTACAACAATTTTATCAGCATTAAATCAATAGATTATTTCATCACATGTTGCGTAAAGATTAAAATTAATAACAATTATTTTCTTAATTTATGTGTACAATAATTTAAATTATTCTTAAATATATTTTTTTATAATTTTTTTAATCATTGAAATAATGAAATTACATAAAAGTCAATGATTGAATTAAGTTTAACTTAGTTAAATGTAATAAAAAGTTTTTATTTGTTGTTTTGTTGATGAAAAAGCTTTTCTTTAGAATATTTGATGAGAGAATTTTTTTTATAATAATCAATTTGTCAACACAGATAATAAAATGTGAACTTGTTGATGGATATTTTTAAAAATGAGTGTTTTTGTTGATATTTTCGAGGAATTTTATTGAATGTTTTGTTGGTTTTTTCAATTTAAAGTTTTTGATATCAATCTTTGCTTAAATTCTTCTTGAAATGTCAAAATAATCTTAGTCCATTTTCGTCATCTTTCTTTAGAAATTTTGTTAATATCTACACCAAGTTTTAGTTTATTCTTGATATAATGATCAAAAAGGAGCTGGTTTTTAGGGATACCTTTTAAAGATGTCTACTTAAGCAACTAGAATCATATCAAGAGTACGATTAAAATACATTCCCAGAAACTCTAAGGAATTACTTAATAAATTGACCTCAAAAATCTCTTATTATCAAAAAAAGTCAAATTTAAGATCTTCAAACTTATCAAAAATGATCAAAACGAGATTTATCAGTTCCGAGTTTCTCCTGAGCTCCCTTGGTCTCCCATTTATCGTTTTTATAAATATTTAATTTTTCAACACTAGTTTTTCGACTGAAACTAGAAACTAGGTTTAACCCTTGAGAATCTACAAACATTGTAAAAAAACCTCCTAATATGAAAACTTTCGAATTAATTTTTATCATATTTTTAAATTCAAAATTTAACAACTTATTCTCCAAAATTCCTCAAAAACATCCCCAAAAAAATCACTTTTATTTCAGGATGATTTTCAATAATTTGATTTCGAATGGATTTGTTTGTTTGTTTCTCATATTGCTACTCCTGCTAAACTAGAATTAAGTTTTTATTTCTTTCACTTATTTGAAAAATCTCGCTTCACATCTATTTGATAAAATTTTTTTATTTCGATTTTTTTGTTTTATCTTAAATTAAATTTTAAATTTTCTTTACCAATTTAATTTGGTGGTTTTTGTTCCTATATAATTTACTAATATTAGGATTCACTTTATTTTAAGCAATTATTACTAATTTTTTTTTAAGATTCTCATTACTTTTGTATCGATTCTTTGGTCATGTCTACAATTAAAATTAATTTTTTTATGTTTATGATTTTTTTCTTTGCCTTAGCGGAATAGCATCTATAGATCATTGATTCGCTGAAGTGTAATTCTAGAAATAAACAAAAAATTTAAAATAAGAAAAAATAATAATAATGATTCAAATTAATTCAGATTAAGCTTTTCGTTTTCTATCTAGATTGAATTTTGTCAATGAAATGTTGTTTATGTTACTTCATACAAGGAACTCACGTAAATGCTGCAGACATGAGTGTAATCTTTTAATTTTAGTGACCATGATTGAGCTAATCTTTTCAGAATCTTTAAGAAAAAAGTTTAAAGATCAAGAAAAAACAGCCTCAAATAAAAATTTATGTTCATTGAATTTTCAGAATTTTCCATGAACTGATTTTCATCAAAAAAAAATAATTTAGAACTGAAGGTAATTCGGAGAAAATTGCGTAACGGAAGTAATGTTATCAGCATAATATATATAAAATTTGATCAAACTAAATGTTTCGCTTTTTGCGGATGTAATTTTGAGCCTTTTAATGAAATCAAATAAATTTCCTGACAGAGAACAAAAATCTGCCAAGATTCTGGTCAGAAACTTTACAAATCTGACTATTTTCTGTCTGAAAACTAAAATCCGCTCAGATTCTGGTCACAAACTTTACAAATCTGAGTATATTCTGTATAAAAACTAAAGTCCGTTTAAATTCTGGTCACAAACTTTTTAAATCTGCCTGTTTTCCGACCAACAACTAAGATCCGCTCAGATTCTAGTCACAAACTTATCAAAATTGAATGTTTTCTGACCAAAAATCAAAATTACGAGTTTGATATCAAACTTAGAACTTTCCATCCCCTGATTCCACCGAGACTCACAACTTTATCTGCAACATTTAACAACTACAACGATTATCTGCAGTATCTTAAATAATCATCACGCTCATGCTTAAATGAACTTACATAAACTTGTGTATGAGTTAATCATAAAAGAAAATCGGATGAACTTTTAAATAACGAATAAAATTTTGATTCCAATTCATTCATACCAAAAAAAATATAAATGAAGACTGAAAGGATTTTTGTTGTGGGATGAATGACTGATCAGAGTATATTCTGTATATCACAATGTATTGTCTGTATTTATTGTGAATAATTTCAGAAGATCTTTCTAGATACCTGATATCGTTGTGAACAGCATCGACCGCAACACGATTGTAATAATCCGGCACTAGTATTTGTTGAATGTGAAGGACTAGCCATGGGTGATGGTGTAGCAGGTTGTTTTGGTTGCGTTACCAAACCATTGAACCCATGGTCTAAATCGAGAAATTCTCGATCCTAAAAAGGAATTGTGATATCCTATACTTATCGTTTGAAGTGTCATTAACAAAATTCAAAAGAAATGAAAATTGCGGGACATAAAATAATTTGTCACTTACGGTTGTCTTCTCTAAGCATCGCAACAGATGATGATGTTGTAACTCGAAAATATCTTCATCATTATAACTGTCATCCATATCGATTCCGCTCTCTTGAGCAGCAAGACGTGCCTCAGCAGCACGCTTCTTATTGATAAATGCTGCCCCGGAAGATGCTTTTGCCATTTTGATTCGTGCCAGGCGTGCTTTCTATATTTATGTGGAGACAAATGATATAAAATAAGGATATGAATAAATAAATCTAGTTCTAGCTTGTTGAGTTGATTCTAAGGGCGCATTTTTCAAGGATGGTTTAAAATTAATTTTTCGAAGGGGATCTTTGACATGACATGGCTATTTTAGAGCATAGGGTTGATGTGTCAAAATGATTGGGTTTCTGGCTTCAATATTGATGGCTCTTAGTTTTCATGATCCTTTTAGACTCTATCTACATTCAAGGACCTTATTAATCTCTTATCAAATGCTTTGGACTGCAGTGGAACCACCCCTTCACAATAAGCTACGAATAATACCCCAAAAGTCTAATAATAATCTTCCCCCTCTTCAAGTAAGCTGCTGATTGAACATAAAACTAATATTTCTGTAGAATCACAAGCTTTACTTTACCCAAAATGACCATCATCCCCTAAGAGACTAACACCACTCCTAGAAAAATGCGCAAAAAAACCACACAACCACATGGATCAGCACAAAAAGGATAAAATAAATTCTAAATCATAATAAATCATTTAAAGTATTTTTATTGTCTATTTTTCTATTTTACCCTTTGCGCTTTTCTTTTATCAGCACGTTGATTCTGATGATAAATTCGACTAAAGTTTGACACAATAACTGGAACGGGAAGTGCAATGACCAACACACCACTAAGTGAGCAAACGCCTCCAACGACTTTTCCCGCAATCGTCTCTGGAACCATATCACCATAACTGTGAAAGGATAATTGGTTTTTTTTAAAAAGAGACAGGCACTCCATAAATAACACATAGTGCCATAAACAAATTCACTCCATTGGAAAATCTTGTGCATGTAAAAATCGTGAAATAATTTACTTACCCTAATGTTGTCATCGTTACTATTGTGTACCAGAAGGCGGCTGGAATTGATGTGAAATTTGTACCATCAACATTCTTTTCAGCATAGAACATCACAGTTGCGAAAATGATGATGGCCATGGCAAGTGAGAATACGAGAAAGCCAAGTTCGGAAGCACACGATTTGAGTGTGTAGCCAAGAATACGTAATCCTTGTGAATGTCTTGAGAATTTAAAAATACGGAAAACACGGAATACTCGAAGTGTAACAAAAGCGCCAGATACGTCGTCGTTATCTAGTTGGATGAAAAAATATGAAAAATATTTTATTAATTTTCTTGTCGTCACTGGTGGTACTGGTTACAATTATTGGATATATATCACATTCAAGGAATGATAAAACTCGGATTTTTGCTTTAATTTGATTTATACTAAGACTGGATTGCTAAACATTTGAGAGCATTAAGTCGAGTTGAATATTTAAACCAGATCTCTAGCATCCCTAAACTCAAAAATCTCTTTACACAGTACAAAATAAATCTCCGATTCAGCAAAAATTGTCAATTCTTTACAGCATCGTTTCAAAATGACATAAAGTCCGATAATATCAAACAGAAATCTCCGCAATATTTATGCAAGTGCTTTATTCTCCATAAAACATTAAGCACGTCAGTTGAAACAGCTGTATTTAATGACTAAGTGTGACAATATCTCAAATATTCAAAGCAATTACTCGGTCTTTTGGAAATTTCATTAAATAATTTTTAAATAATCAATAACTTTTTTTTTGCGATACAAGGAAAAGCTATGACTGCTCGTGGCCATAAAAGACATCTGTCCTTAAGCAATTATTTCATGCTTGGATGGAAAAAAATTATGAGAGAAATGTGCCAAAAACTTTAATTTGCACAGCTCGTTTAATTGTTGCAATTATCTCATAAGTCCTTAGACAGCGCTTGACTTTCGGAAGTCAGAAAATGTTAGCAAAGTTTTCCTTTAAAATTTACATGGGGATATTCTCTAGTGACGTCGATTATGAATTTTGCGAAATTTCAAAAAAATAATTTGTGACAATTTGTGAAAGGGGTCTTTAAAAATTATTTTATATTAGACGTCATTGATGAACAACCCCCAATCGGATTATATTATGACAAAGATAATCGCTTAAGACTAAAGAAAAATTCATTGGATTATTCTCCAACATAGGAATGAGCTTATAAAGCTCAAAACGAGGTACCTCGCTGTGAGTAATTTGAATTTTAGACAAATTTTCAAAGCTCGCATATTTTTCAAATTATTATGTTAATTTACCTTGCATAAATAAACCAATATAGTATGGCATGATTGCCTAAAATAGAAAACGACAAAAAGAAAAAATTTCTATTAAAAAAAAGTTTGAATAAAATTTTCCATTTTTCACAAAATATGAAAAAGGAACTGACTTGAAAATGTATATACATAATATGTTATTATTATTTTTATTGTACTTTACCACAACATCAATAACCGACATAACGCTTCGCATAAATTTCCATCGCGATGGTGCGGCAAATAGTCGAAGTAAATATTCAGCAGTAAAAATCATCACACAGGCTGTATCTAAACAGAAAAATACAATTTTGTAACGTTCTCCACATGATAATGTTCCCGCTCGACCCGGTCTCGATCCGCATGGAACTGTAAAAAAGGAAAAATGAGAGAGTGAGAAATAGAAATGTAAATGAAAGAATGTCCAGAGATTAAGATAAATTTATTGCGTTAATTATATGCTACAAGTGTTGAGATTTGACTTTAAGTGTGCCAGTGAAGGGATTTTTCTTGCGGATGTGCTTGTTGTGAGACATTCTGGTCCTTGCATCATTAATATGTTTCATTTTTTGAATTGGTCTAGCACATCTGAAGCTATAGGCTTCATTGTAAAGTCTCATGGTTCGAAGAAATAGGAATTTATTTTTTTGAGATTCGAACTCATGACTGCTGAGCTAATGTCACGATGATAATGTAATAAAGTATTCATTACTTCTCTAATGAGCCATTTCAGTTCATACTCTTTTAAATAAACTTTTGGAGAAATGTTATTGACTTCAGAATGTGGTCAGATTAAGGAAATCACCAAATAATAATTACTAGAGCCGACTTCTTCAATGCTAATTAGGTTAAGTAAAGTATATGTCCTGCAAAAAATCTATAAAGAGTTTGAATAGTCGAATCAGTGGCAAAATCAGGCCCAGTAGACCTTACTGGTTACTCTCATGCATACCTAAACCATACCACAACCTCAGTCAGTCTCAATAAATTACAACAAATCCCAATTCCATTGGCACACCATTCCTGAAAAACAAATCTAAATAATTGTGCACTTATGCATGCAAATACTCACCAGTTTCAACTACATTTGCCATAACGGAGACGGCAATAAAGAATCCAGTGACATAATAAAAAACCAAAGCGGCCGTAGATGTGTGGGGATTTTCAAATGCACGCCACATTCTCTGTCTAATATTCGTTAATGGTGGAAGGTTTGTGTCTGAATTCTCGGATAATTTATCATCTAATAATCTTTCTGCATTCTCGCGCTTACGATCTCTATAATCTTCATAACAACAATCACCGATTACATCTGGCATTACACCAAAGAATGTCAACTCTTCATCATAGCTCGTTAAACATTCATGTCGTGGATAATGAAGCTTCCCTGTTCTATAATAATTAAGGATGTGTCTAAAAATGTCTGGGTCCCGATCAAAAAAATACTCTTTACTATCTTCATCGAAGAAAAATTCGCGCTCATTAGAGCCGAGTAGTGTGTCTGGATATTTTTCTAATGTATTTCGCCACGTCTCAAATCGATGACCTGATATATTTATTATAAGCTTCTCATCCTCAGCACGTCGACGATTATTGACAACGGGTGCCGCTGGCAGTGGATTTGTTGCAATCGGTACCCATCCAATTGCTGTGGCTCGCGCAAGCGGCAACCACGCTGCCACTGAAGCCATTTCAGTTTTATGACTTCAATCAATATAAAGTGAAATTGTTTCAGCTACGCCTCAAATATGTCTTTTTTTATGTTTATTGTTCTCTCCTTTTTTTTTATTTGCTACTGCAATGATCCAGGATTTGATAAAATAAAATTGACGATGTCGAAAGACACCTCTTCTTGCTTCCTTCACTTTATTTTCGTTTCTATCCTTCGAGTAGCATCCGATGCTCTAAATTTGCTTCCTTCTTATTCCAATTTGTGGTCCTCATTTGCTATCTTCATCTCACTCACTCACTCTCACTCAATTGTTCTCATCTAATGCACACTCATTCGACCGATGATTTTTATGTTGCCATTCATTTTCATCGACTGCTGCTGTTGTTGTTGGATCACAAAAGGAAGCTTTTAATCATTCATAATTCTTACTTTTTACTATTCTGTGCACAATTTTCCTCCTTCTTGCTTCTATTTTTATTTCCTTAATTGAATATATAGGCCATGGAAAATATCATAATCTTAATTTAATCTTCTTTTGTCTATTCTGTGCCTTCAATAGATTTTTGTTGATTTTTCCTCTTCCTCTTATTTTTCGCGGATCGTTACACGCTGGTCAGTCAAGAATGACTTTTACTTCTTTCGTCCCACTTTTTTTTATTTCACTCGCGTGTTGCTGTTGCTGATGCTGTTATGTCATTTAATAATACCGTTTAATGGAGGGGATGAGGGATAATTTTTTTAACGATTTTTACATCATGAGCATTATTTGTATTGCTACTTGTCCTTTTGACTTCGTTCCTTTCACTTTTCTATCACTTCTCGTCCTTCTTTTCGTCTATCTCTCGTCAACATGTAATGTTATTTAATATGTGTTCTGCAAGAGACATTTTTAAAAGATTATAAATATTTTTTCATGAATGTGTGAATTAAAGGGGGTAACAACTTGGTGGGAAAAATTTAGCAAGAATTTTTTAACTTATTTCTAGCTGCAGTGAAGATTTTTCTCATAGGGATAACATGATGTATAAAAAAAATTTGTAAGAATTTCTCATCATGTTGTTTTCCCCTCAATTTTCAAAATAGCGAATTTTTCCAAAAAAAAGTTTATTTTCCCACCAAGGTGTAATCCCCCTTCTGCATGAATGTTAAAAGAATAGGTGATATAATAAATGTAAATGGAAGTGAAAATAGCACTTCATAAGGACACAAAAGAAAAGCTCACGATAGAATGCTTTCGGTATGTTAAGTGCAGAAGTAGAATAAAATTTTGTGCAGACGGCATACATAGAGTTATGTTTTATTGTTCCTTTAAATTTATAATTATTAAGTTCACACATAATAAATGGTTATTTTTGTTCATTTATAAACCACGCATGTCACAGACCAAAGATAGTAAAAGGGTGAATTTTTGAGGATATTTTTGCACAGAGATGCTTATATTGCCTCGATAGATAAGAATAATATTTTTTATGAATATGAATTTGGGTGAAAATAGAATTAGGTCAATTATTTTAAAGTCATGTCATTAATTTGTCTTTTGAAGTCATTAAAGATTTTTGTTCATCAGAAATTTAAATTTCTGAACATTTAATTATTATGCCACAAATTTGAGATCCCACAGCTTCAGAAGCTAGTATTAATTTTCATACTTGGGGTATTTCCTAGCCATGGACCATCATGAAATAGATCTGCAACTGCTTTAAAGATAGTTTTAGGCTCCATCTTAGAAAGACCATGAGTCACAATTGATCTGTACGTTTAGGAAGGATATAGTAAGGTGTAGTGTGAATGTTAAAGTAAGGAGCTCCAAATGAACACCCTTGCGAATTTCCAGAGTTCAAGATTAAGATTTGTTGACCAACAGTGAATAAAATGTGCTTTACTGGACATCACCTTAACCATTCCATTCCAATTCCAAAATATATTTTACCAGAATTTCAACAACTCAGTTCCTAAATAACAACATGATTTCCACCTTTCATCAGCTCAACAAAATAAAAAAATTCGCAAATTCACTTCACAATTTACAGCATTAAAAATGATTCCAATTCAAACAAATGCGCTCGAATCATCCACTTTAAAAATCTCAACTTAAAATGTGTTTCTTCATTTTCGCTTTGTAATGAACGCAAAAAAGAAATGCAGAAAAACACTTGTTCAGGCGTTGTTTGAAGAGAAAGAAATAAAAAAAAATATGAAATGAAAATAAAAGAAATAATGTGAAAAAATGTGGGAGAGAGAGAAACAAAATTAGCCAGATGTACAAAACGTACGAAAGATTTTTTTTTTGTATTTTTTTTTTTTTATTTAAAAGAACACATTTTGTGTGCTGTATATTATATCGATATAGAGAGCAACTGTGAATGAATATTTTTACCATACCATATGATTTTTTTTTTGAATAAATATTTTATGTACATATTTAAGTACGGCATCCATTCATATATTAACATTATTGCTTATTGATATTATGCTGGATATAATGTATATAATTATCCATAATATGTATGTCACATTTACATTTTATATGTCATATCGGTCTTGGATAATCAATTCTTGTATTTACAGCATATCTGGAGTTGGGATGATATCCTTAATTTAGAATAATATGGATAATTATCATGAATATCCAGGGATGTAGACAAAAATTGTTGGAGCAGAGAGAGTCCGTCTGACGTCCGATATTAACGGTCATTTTTCAAAAAAAGAACAATGGAATTCCAAGAATTTTAATATTTCTTTTCTTGCTGAACCCCCCCCCCCCCCTCCCCTGGATGTCAAAAATGAACGGCCCCTTAAGAATCTTGCATATGAAGCATTAACGCATCCTTGAAAAAAGCCATCGAGGAGTTAAAAGATCAATTTAACCTTCATTTTCCTAATCAATTTAAAGTCAATCTTCAACCAATTCAAATTCTATAAAAGTTGCTTCATTAAAACATTTTAAAATCAACTCGACATTATTTCAATCAAATGTCTGATTTTTAAATTAATTTAAAGCATTTCAGCTCAAGTTTTCAAAATAACATTTCTCCCACACAGACATAATAAATTAAATTAGTATAAACTTTGAAGGCATTTCCAAAAAATAAAATCTCGTGCATTTTCTAAAAGATAAAGAAATCCTCATTTTAATTCAAAAGTAATCCAATCATCAGATTCAAAGCGGAAGAAGAGGAAAATGTCACGAAAAATTCTCGTAGACAAATATACAGACAGAGACTAAGACTATAATCACCATAATTTGCATTCGACTTTCACATTTATTTTTGGCACATTTTCCTTAAGCAACATCATTTATTCAACTTCACAAACATTTGGATGTGCGCTTCGTTATGCTTTATTCATTTATTATATTGTTTCCTTGACCAAACACAATGGCATAACAGTGGTGGTCAACCTTTTTTAAGGTCACGGCACACCTTGTTATAAGCCATGACTGAAACTGAACACAGCATTAGGTTCGTGGGATATCTTGATTTTTTTGTGGTCATACAAATGTGCCGCGACACATGGGTTGACCATCACTGGTATAACAAATTCTCATGTTTTGCATTTAATTACTGTCATTCTATGTTTTTGTGGTCTGCATACGAAATGTTCCTTTATCGCACAACAAATTTTATGGTCTGTCTTTCGCTCTGAATTATTTGTTTAAGAAAATGGAGCTTGTTTTGGTATGCGGCTGGAGGGTGGATCACATAAATCTATTGAAGTTGACTGAGGGCTTTTGTTTTCTTTCTTTTGGGATGCTCAACATTTTTTTTTTTGTATATGTTTTGATCGTGTTTAATGATAATCGATTGGACTACAGCATATGGTTCGTGTCGCGTCACACAGGTTGACCATCACTGGACTACAGACTTATTTAAACTAGAGCTAATCTAATTATTAGAAGGACCTGAATAGGTATTACTTCAGTATACAGTCCGTGTCGCGTCACACAGGTTGACCATCACTGGACTACAGACTTATTTAAACTAGAGCTAATCTAATTATTAGAAGGACCTGAAATTTAAAATTCCCATTAAAATAAGATTCGAATCCACTTCAATTCACCATTAAGATTCGAACCTCACGTTCTTGGGTCAATATTTCATATTTCTATTCTACCAACAAGCTACCCTTTAATCAATAAGCAACCCCACTTGACAATTCAAATAAATACTGTCTACCTTTATAAATATAAATCAATTTCTTTAAATAAACTCAAAAAGTTTCTTGACCGCATTTAAAATTCAATAGATTTCCCACATGACTATTCAGCTACATTAAAAAGTAATCAAAGCGTCAATTCTAACCCAGAGAAGCTTCATTGACGACAAATGGCACAATTTTATGAACAAATCTAAATTGAATTGAGAAAAGGTGTTGTTGCTGCTTGAGAAATTCATAGATGGAAATGAAGGTTTATGTTGTTTGGGGAGTTGTTCATCAGTGTGGGGTGTGACTGCGTCCCACATTGTTTACCTTTTACATCTTCTTTGAGCAATTTTAAGTAAAAAAAAAATGATGTTAGTAAAACTTTAATTTGGTGTGGTTTCTAGTGCTTTTTGTGGCATTAAAAGGATGTAAACAAATACTGTGACTAAGGCTGGTACCACGGAAAGGCAAAGAAACCGGTCCATGTCTAAAGATGGCAGTAATTCCCAACCAAACTATAAATCTGAAGGTAAACAAAATTGAAAAGCTTTGAGCCCGCCCTCTTGGCTACACCTTTAGTAGACGTCACATATTGATGACCCTCATAAATGCATCCCTGATGAAAGATTTTAAAAAGCAATCAATGCAAATATTCATAAGAATTTCGAATCCAAAAAGAAAGTCTGAAGGAATTCAACAAAAAATTATTCACAGAATGTGAGCACAGAAGACACAGAAGTGAGTTGACAAATGCAAAAATAGTTTTTCAATAATCGATTTTTAAAGACATAGAAATGCAATCATTTAAAGGCTTTAAAATAAATTAAAGAAAAAACATTTGCACGCGACTAGGCAAGAACTTTTGATTTATTTTCCTTAAAATCAAAAAACGTGAAAATTTATTTCCATCCAATTCTTCATGTCTCAAAATTTGTACATAAATTTATTAAGAAGGACATTCAAATTTGTGTAAAATATTTATTTTTTCTTGATTTGTTTGGCATGGTCACAAATTATTGCTGTTTGACCAGCTGTGATCAGAAATGAATGTACTTAATTTATGGCATCATTTATCTCTATACTCGCACAGGGTGGTCGTTATAGATTTTTAATTAAAAATTGAGAACGAAGATTTGTCTCTGATGGATTTTTGAAGACAATGGAATGACAAAGGTGTGACTTTTTATGTTTTCTTGATGCTCGAATTTCAGTTGAGATTTCTGAAGTTTTTGTTGGAATTTTTCATTAAGCATTCCACTAATTTGTGCCTTAAAAATCACTTCATCACATCATTTCAGACACAAAACTCACAATTTTCATCTTTAATTGCCAAACTTTCTCAATCTCGACGCCTTTCACAATATAAGTAAATGACATAAACTTATGCCATTATCTCATACCACTCGACACTCGAAAAATCTTTCAATCAAACAACTTTCAATCGCCAATTTGTGGCTTATATAATTTCCAATTAACATGATGAATGCTTGTAGGACGTGTCATTAATAATGTTGGAAAAACACTTATAATGTCCTTAATATTGCCACTTGAGAATGGATTTTTGGGGAGTCATTGGAGATTTATTTTTGATAATTTTGATAAGTTTCGAACCCTTGGTTGTTCAGATGTTATGTCTATAAACAAAAATAAGCACTTGCCTCCTCCCCTTTCATCCCCATCGTTACTTAGGTTGCTTAAAAATTAATGGCAAGTTTCAAGGATATCCGAGGC